CCACTTTTCTTGATTCAAATCAGATTTAACTTGATTCGAATAAGTTTTTACTTCACTTGATTCAAATGAAATTTCACTCGATTCAAATCATATTTGACGCGATTCGAATCAGACTTTTCTCGATTCTAATCGAACTTTTCTTGATTCAAATAGAACGCCACTTGATTCAAGTAAGTTTTTACTTGATTCAAATAAAATATAGTACTTTTTTCAAACTAAAATTCGAATCAACCAATTTCTGATTAGAATTCAAATGTATTGGATGGTACGAGTCACACAATTTCCGATTCGAATCAAGGAATTTACTTATCTTTTTGTTGCTCAAAGGTAACATTTTTCTCTACTGTTTGCATTCGTGTATTAGAGGGAGGGAGAGCTGAGCGCGAAATCGTTCGCAAAACACTAATATTTTTGATAAATACATTGATTCGAATCAGATTTTTAGTAATGCGAATTAATTCTGAATATCTTTTTTATTTTTCACTAGTGAAAGCCATTGGTATTGTAGGTGGAACAGATTTTTTTTTATTTATCGTAAGTGAAAGAAAACCATTGATTTTTGAAGGTGGAACGAATTTTTGAGAAGATTTTTGAAAAGCTGTTTGAGAACCAATTTTTGAATATTACGATATTACGACTGTAAATATGTATAATGTATAATATAGCAAATATACATTCTTGTTTTGCTAGAAGAGTTCTAGAAATTTTTCGCACACGACTTTACTTTGATTTTTTAAAATTATGTTACCTATTAAATTTCTTTTTCATGTATGTATCCATTTTTTTCCGAAAGAAAGAAATATATGTATCTGATTATTCATTATACTCGTTTCGACACAAGATTTGTGCCATCATCCAACTAAAATATAATTATAATGAATGAACACAATAACAACAAAATAAATAGAGAAGTATATCAAAAGATAAAAATTCAATAAAGTCAAAATTATAGCGAATTTTTTGCTTTTAAATAAATAAATTCATGTATGACTGGATGAATAAGTAACTTTTAAAAAACAAAATCGACTGTCCAAAGACTGCCCAAAAAAAGAAATTTTTTTAAAGACGTTAATTAATTTTTTTAAACTAAATTTGAAGAAGAGTTAGGTTCATTAATACCAGCCAGATTTCAATAAAATAAATGAAACAAGATTTTGCAAATCTTTTAAGGTCAACTTTTTTTTTCTTTATTGTTATTATTTTCTTTATCAAAATAATAGTACGTTTTGTATTAAAAATTTGTTTAAAATTAAACATACGTTCAGAAAACATAGTTTTGAATTGTTTTGGATTTTTAGAATTATAAATATGTTGATTCTTTTTAAAATATTTTTCCAAGATCTTTTTTTTCCAATACAGTCATTGCAATCCACTTTGTAAACTGAGTAGTAGGTCATTCTATTTGTAGAAGTTTTTTATTTAACCCTTTCCACTCGCGAATTCTGAAATCATCATTTTGCCGCCGGAGCCGCCGGCTTTTAAACGCATACAGTCCTAAATTTTCACTTCCGTTTCAAATGTTCCTATTTAATTTTTTTAAAATATACTTTATGGTTGAACAACAGAATTAAGAGCATTTTCAAAATTACAAGAGAAAGAATCGGCTCACATACACACTCACATCGATACAAATGTACACATATACATCCATACATACATACACACACACAAACTTTTTTCAATTTTGGTCTCATTCATTAAAAATAATATCAATAAAACATTTTAACATTTCAAAGGTCAATTGTTTTTTCTTTATCTAGAATGACAGTATGTTTGTATTAAAAATGTAACATATGTTCAGAAAACATAGTTTTGAATTGTTTTGGATTTTTAGAACTATAAATATTTTGATTTTTTTTTTAAATATATTGAGAGTATTTCCAATACAATCGTTGCAATCCACTTTAAAACTGAGAAGGTAATTCTGTTTGTATAAGTTTATTATTTCAAATCCTTACAAAATGTATTTTAAACACATGGAGTCCTAAATTTCCACCTTCTTACCACAAATGCCTATTTCATTATTTTTTTTATATTTTTTGGATTAAACAACAGATCTAAGAGCACTGTCAAAATAAGAAAGAAAAAATTGGCTCACACATACATTCATACATACATACACAAATACATATCCATAGATACACAGTCACATCCATACACATACATACACATCGATACATACATACATTAAAAATAATACCAATAAAACATTTCACCAATTATTTTAGTAACTTTTCATATTACTTTAAATAAAAAATAATAATTTTGTTGTTATTGTATTCAATATTTTATATGGATGACACACATTTAGTGTCAAAACGTATAAATAAATGTGTATACTTATTTATATTAATCAAAATCGACGCAGTAAGGGTTGTCCACTGTTAAGATCTTCTTTTATTTAGATTTTGAACCATTTTTTTTATTTTACTTATTTATAATTGGTAATTAAAAAATACATTCAGCCCTAAATTTTCACCTTCCTACTGTAAACCACTATTTAGTAATAGTCATTTATTATATATATATATATATATATATATATATATATATATATATATTTATATCTATATATATTTATATATACAATTTTACTGTAAATACATTATTTATATAATTTCAACTATTATTTATTTATTTCTACTCGAATTATTACAAGAAAGTAGCTGTTAAGAATTTATTTTAAACTTAGTCGGATACACAGAGTATGACACTTGTACATAATTATTATTATATATAATTTAAGAGACCAATATACTTGTATATATAAATATTTAAATATTAATATATTTATAAGAATCTCATAGAACATTTAATATTATCACGATACACTTTTCATCAAGTACTACATTCATATGGGTACCCTGTACAGTGTATCGATAATATTTAAAATTGAAAAAGAAAGTTGTAGACTAGTAAATAAATAAAAATATATTTTTGCATTCTCTTCGTGTATATGTGTGTGCTTTTGCTTGTAAATATTAAATATTAAGCTTTAAATAGTCAAAAAGGTAACTAGAAGGTCATCAACAAAAATTTACAATAGAACAAATATAATTTAAATTGTTACCTTTTTTTTTAAATATAAAGATGCACAAAATTTACTGGTAAGAAAATTGTAAGCTTCGAAACGCATTCCTTGTAAATTAACAAAATGTTCCATAAATTTACTTTTATATATATATATATATATATATATATATTAATACTCAATTATTTTTGTTTCTACAATTAGTTTGTTAAGTTATTATTATTTATAAAATGTTATAACAACAACAAATTGCTCTATACGTAAGAATAATTATAATATATATAATATATATTGAATATGAAACCAAAGTATTTAGTTAATAAAAATGTAATTATAACATTTAAGTGTTTTATTTAATTATTTATTTATATTATTTAATTAATAGTATTTTTACAGAGACTGTAATAATAATAATTGAATAATTGTGTTTGCAATATTCGATAAAATTTAAGAATGTAGGATAGAACTTGTTTTTTATTAGGGTGGTTTTTAATATGGATGCTTTCGAATTTTTTTGCTCCCAGGGGCGCAAGTTTTTCCAAATTGATGAAAGAAAATTCTCTGAAAGTTTTAGTTCTTAATATTAACTTTAAGATAGTCCGCACTCCAATCAAAGTTTCTTATGGAAATAACATGGGTAAAATTCCATTTGTTCTTTAGAATTTTATAACTTACCGACAAGTGAATCAAAATTTTGAGAATACATTGTATTTGCTTATTTTGATCATTAATAAATAAATTACAAAAAAATTTTGATATTTATTATAAAATAAGTATTTACTTAGGAAGAAGAACCAAGAAACTTTGATCGGAGTGCGGACTATGTTAGAGTTAATATAAAGAGCTAGAACTTTCAGAATTTTTTTTTTTATCAATTTGGAGGCATTTGAGCCCCTGGGAGCAAGGAAAATCGAAAATATCCGTATCAAGGACCACCCTAGCATACATAATTAACTTAACTAATAAAAATAGAGATTCAGGTATTTAGGTAAAATGTTCAATTTTATTTCGAAAATGAAATTGTTTCGTTCACTAAAAAATAATAATTATGATTTCCATTTTGTCTTTGAAACATACTTATAATATATGTAATTGTATAAATTATATTAATTTGTTCAACACATTTCATTTCATGCATTTCGCGTTCTGAAAATATACTTTTTTTATAAAGTGGACATCAACTGTAATCAGTAGCTACCAACAAAATACTAAAGAATGTACATATGGTTCGGCATAGATTCTGATTAGAACCCCTTAATCGCGCGACGAAATTCAAAACTTAGAGGAATTTTTATAATTCAACCGATTATCTAAGGCCAATAATATATAAAGTTTATCCCTATGATTAGTACTTAAATAAGCAACAGTGTCTCCATCTGGGGAATCCAATGGCATGGTGTGAAACTATGATAGCGTACCACACAAAACATATTAGATGTCGCCACTGTTTTATCATAGTTAGCTCTGATTGGATGAACACGTTTCGACTTTTAATTTAAGGCATCATTATTCGAAAAAAAAACATTATACATGAAAAATTATAGTAAATATAGTTGGATTTATACACTTTAAAATCAAATGATATAATAAGATGAAATTTTGTTTGATTTGTCATATTTTTTTAGGTAAATGGACTGCTGTTTCTATACGGTTTTGTGTTTTTAAATTAGGAACATCCTATAGATACTATGTTTAGCATATTTATTATGTGACACTTAATAACTAATATTATTTTTTTTTACCTCGAGGGTTTGGAATGTGGTGTTGGAGACAAATGGAGAAGATAAAATGGACAGACAAAATAACAAACGAAGAAGTCCTGAGAAGAGTGAATAAAGAAAAGACTCTACTGAGCACAATTCTGAGAAGAAAAGGAAACTAGATCGGACCTCTTCTGCAAAACGAGTGCCTCCTGCACGACGTCGTCGAGGGTATTATAGAAGGAAAAAAAGCGCTGGGAAGAAGAAGAATGCAAATGATTGACAACTTACACGAGAAGAGAAAGTACAGGGGACTAAAAGCCGAAGCACAGGATCAAGAAGCATGGAAGCAGAAGTTTGGAAACGCAAATACACGAAAAAGGGAGGGGGATGGTGGTGATAGACAAAGAGTAAGGGAATCATTTATTTTGGTGGCTCTCACACCACGGACCTGCCTTTGGACAGACTACCATTTCTTATTATTATATAATATTTTATACCAACTATGATGATAAATTATAATTTATTTAAATAAAATATAGAAATTTACAGTATCAGTATTTAGGGGCCTAGCAATATATATATATATATATATATATATATATATATATATATATATTTTAATGCAATGCAAAATAATAGAAGTGGAGAGGAGTGATATAACAAGCAAAGTTATCGAAAGAGGTTTTGTTGATTCAACCAGTAATTTGAAAAGTTATCAAACTGCTTTCATTATTCACAATTATGAGAATTCAAACATAACACAGCTGCATATATATATATATATATATATATTATATATTCAATGAAAAAAGTGTTGAGAAGAGTGGGCTCTAATGAGTACGATTCTGAAAAGGAAAGGAAACTGTAACGGACTCATTCTGTTACAAGAGTTCCTTCTTCATGTTAGATGGTAAAAAGAAGTACTAAAAAAATTTGGAAGAAGAAGAATGCAGATGATTTATGACTAGCGCGAGAAGAGATTTTTTTTATTATTATATAGATGTATGTTGAGTTTGTTTATAATTATATTGATTTTGCTAAACATCAAATAAAAAGGTCATCATGGTTAATAACCGTTATTAGGGTTAACCTTTCTACTCGGATGCACTCGCTCCGGCGACAAAATCGTATAAATCTCGGAATTCGCGAGTGGAAAGGGTTAAATACTAAAGATTAGGTTTTGATAAAATCAAAAACTTTATTTTCGAAATAATCTGTTGAAAATTATATCTGAACAGCAAAATATCAATTTCTATCAGTTAAATCGAATTATTTACACGTATCAGGAAGTTCGTGCAAGTTGCTTTAAGGCACAATGCCACTTACACCTAGGTATAAAATATATATATTATATATATCTGTTAAAGATATGTATATATGTATATATGCATATACGTGTATGTATATATGTAATAAATCGTTTTGTTTTGACAGAATATTCCAACTCAAACCACCGCGCCATTGCAATTTGCGAAGACGGTGGTTCTTGCTCTATATCCTTTACTATTTATACAAATATATATATATATATATATATATATATATAATATGTGCATGTATATATAAAGAAATATTAATGGGTTGCTTTGTCGATTTCTGGAACAGAAAAAACACCACCCGAGATTCTAAATCTACAAAAAAAGAGTTAAAAGGTCTTTGCCATATATATATATATATATATATATATATATATATATATATATAATATATATGCAAAGATTAAGACTAAGATATCCATACTATACAACGTTATTGTTACGTTATCGTTACATTGTATAAATACCATGTTCTGAAAACGTTATGCTTGTTACTTAACTGTTACATATTTCTTTTGAAGTACGTTAGTGTTACGTTGTTGGTACAGTGTATGAACTATATTCTACGATATATATATATATATATATATATATATAAACTTTGAAATAAAGTTTGATATTCGCTGAAAACACAAGAAATGTTTTTTTGGCTGATGTCATAATTCGCGACAATGCTCCAACCCTCTTCACCCTCACCCTCACATTTATATATACATATAGATGTATATATACATATACATATAGACATGTATATATATATACATATACATAATTGCATGTTATATATATATAATATATATATATATGTATATATAATGTATATATTATAAGTGAGGGGTCGATTTTTGCTTAAGTTGGCAAAGAAATTGATAAGCTGCTGAAGGGCGACTATCCCTTATTTTTCTTTCA